TTTTCAATTAAAACAATTACCTTGGCTAAAAAAAAGTTTGAAAAACACTGGACTAATGTCCAAAAGTCTGCAAAATAGTAATGTGAAATTCACGAACGATCCGATTCTTCTGAACGGCTCTTTACTAAGAAGATCGGACTGGAGCTTCACTGAGAGCCATTCTTTGTTCTTGTAATGCTCTGGTACTCTGCAGTAGCTATCATTATGTTATTTAATTATACACAATGATATTTATTTAATTAGCAAATAAATAAATCACAAGAACGAAAGAGCACGCAGAGCATGCACATTGTTCTCTGTTTTCGTTCAAAGTGGCAGCTGTAACGATTGCCATGGTGTCAGACTGCTTGGATTCATGTAGCTGTGGAGAGGGTGAGAACAGTCATGGTGAGCTCCTTGTGCTTGGTTACTTCTTGCTTGTTTCTCCTTGGTCAGTGTTCATAGTTGAGCGTTATTTACTATCAGGACGTTGACTTAATTGCTATGTTTAATGGTGCAGAGAGTGGTGGTTTCTGACATGAGCATTATTGGCAAACACACAGGGTGTTATCTATTTAGGGATGGCAAGAGACCTCTGCGGATTGTGGCACAGAAATGGTATTGGTTAAATTTATTTCAGCTCTAAGTATTTAATATCTAGGTGTTTTTATGGGAATGTGGATCTTTCAGATCAATTTGAGAAGTAATTTTGATCATATTTAACATTTTTTCATGTCATGTAGCGTGGGGCACTGGTCTTGGTCTTGACTAGGTCTCGGACCCTAAAAGTCTTGGTCTTGTCTCGGGTTAGGTGGTCTTGACTACAATCCTGCCGTTGGCCATCGGACGGCCAATCGGGAGCCGTTGGCCATCGGACGGCCAATCGGGAGCCGTTGGCCATCGGACGGCCAATCGGGAGCCGTTGGCCATCGGATGGCCAATTGGGAGCTGTTAGCTGGTGGAGGCTAACCTGTCCTCTGTACTCCAGGTTGCCTGATGCTGCTCGCCTGGATGACCTTGTGTCCGGTGGGGATGATGGTGGCTCGGTACCTGAGAAGATCCAGTCAGGTCCAGATGTTTGGCAAAGATCTGTGGTTTGTGGTGAGTTTCCGTGTGCAGCTGGGTTCTGACCCACAGAGGCCCTCAAGGGACCTGGCACCATGCCATCTCCATGACAACATGGATGTTCCCACAGATCCACGTCTCCGTGATGAGCTTCACCGTGGCAACCACCATCATCGCCTTCATCCTCGCCTTCTCATACCTTGGCGGCTGGGAATATGTAAGTGGAGTGTTACCTCCTGCTGGTTCTGATCCATTAGACCAGAACCGGTGTTCTGACTATCAGTGCTACCTCGTCAGATTTTCCTACGATAGCACGGATAGATAGCTAAGTCTATCAGTCAGTGCTGCGCATACAAAACTCCTACCGTCATGTTTACAAACAGAAAACTACAGCGGGTTGTTAATGTTAAATATATTGGATAGTATTATTTGAGTGACTGAAGTTTTATTGGAATTAAAGACAAATACAGATCATCGCAACTCTTTTGCGCATTAATACGTTGTATGACAAACTTTATTAAATGCAGCCACAAAGTGTCGACCAAACTGCGCAGATCACTGAAATGACAGTATATGATTAATATACGCTAATATTACACCGCTATTACTCAGCTTCAATCCCACATAGTATCGTACCAACATCTATTTAGCAAAGTTTAATAATAATAAAAAAGAATGTAATTAAACAAAAATATAGGGAAAAAATAGCCACTTGTTTGATTAAAAATGGCGGTTAATCAAACAAGCTATTGTTTGATTAACCGCCAAACAATAACTTGTTTACAGCAGACGGCAAACTAAAGCCATAAATATATTTACAAGCTGCTATCATGTAGACTAAAAACATG